CTAATCTCCAAATACTTTGGCCACCTAATGAAAAGGAAGGAGTCACTGGAGAAGAGCCTAATGCTGGGAAGGATTGTGGACAAAAGAAGAAGGGGAAGACAGTGAGTTGGACCATAAGAAAGGCTGAGCACCAAAGAATTGAGGCCTTTGAACTATGGTGCTGGAGAAGACTCCCGTGAGTCCCTTGGATTGCAATCTCCTAGAGGAGATCAACCCTGACTGCTCTTTAGAAGGCCAGATCCTGAAGATTAAACTGGAGTACTTTGAGAAGGAAGGACTCACTGGAGGAGAGCCTAATGCTGGGAAAGATTGAGGGCAAAAGAAGAAGGGGACGACAGAGAATGAGGTGGCTGGATGGAGTCACCGAAGCAGTCAGTGTGAGCTTAAATGGACTTAAATGGGGATGGTAGAGGACAGGAAGGCCTGGAAAAACATAGTCCATGGGGTCACGATGGGACGGGCACGACTTCGCGGCTAACTACAACAACAAAATGAGATTTACTGGGAAATCTAAAGGGATTACAGGGGCTAGGGGTAGTATTAAACCCAAACAAACGTTTACGCCTCCCATTTGTTTTGATTTATGCCTGAAAAGCATCAGGAAACTGCTTGTGATTTCTTTGCAATTTTCTACTGAAATCCGAGTGGTTTAGGTTGCCTGCACACCTTCCTTGCTTTTAGCAAGCCATGCCAAGAACTGAAACCTAAGTGTTTCTGCAAGCAAAGCAGGTGCTCTCTCCTTGAACTGGTGACAGATCTAGACTCCACACCTACATAACTTGCCAGGCATAATTTTGGATCCAGCTTCCAAATCTCTGCCCTAGAGAATTCTTGTGACTCCAGACAGGCTAGAACTTCCCGCCGTCTCTTTCCTAACAAGTGTTGAGTTCTTCCTGGCATGCAGGCAGCTCACTGCTTGGCAGAAGGAGAAGACTCATTTGGACTGATCTGCTTGTTAATGCTGCATCGTTAAAGGATTGCCTTCAAATGGCTTCACCCTACCTGGAAAAAAAAAGTGTGGGGGGAGGAGGAGTGATATAATTTCTTCCAGACGCCAACTATTAATTACATTTGCCGATCTCTATGGGGAGAGGGAGGGACCGGCGTGGGCTCCTTCCAAACTTAGCCTTAATTGTTTCAGTTGAAACCCCCAAGAGCTCCAGACGCTCAACAGGGCAATTGAATCTGCCTCCATAATTAATGCAACCCTCATATATCAAAGTCTGGGATGAAATGAGCTGAAGGCTCAACGCAGGAATGCGGTAATAAGAGAAAGGACGTCTTGTCATCCTGATGGGAGGTCACTTTTGAGTGCCTCTGCCCTAGACAAATCACTTAAGACAATTTCTTTTCTTTAAAAAAAAACAGAAAGAAAGAAAGAAAGAAAGAAAGAAAGAAAGAAAGAAAGAAAGAAAGAAAGAAAGAAAGAAAGAAAGAAAGAAAGAAAGAAAGAAATGAACATTACAATTAGAAGTCCAGGCCAGTCTAATGGAAGGAAGAGCTTTTTAACTACCGTAATTTCATTCCTGATTGTTGGGTGGACTGAAAAGATTCCTGTTCATCTGTGGCTCTATGATTTCCCCCCCCCCTTTTTTTTTTTAAATTGAGGGCTGGGCATCTTTTGGGTAGCCGGACACAGTTCACAATTGTTAGAGTTTAGTGCAGAAGTGGTATTCAGCAGGTTCTGGCACGTTCTGGAGAACTGGTAGCGGAAAATTTGAGTTTGAGTTTGGAGAACCAGCAAATACCACCTCCGACTGCCCCCGCCCCCATCTATTCTCTGCCTCCTGAGTCCCAGCTGATCAGGAGGGGATGGGGATTTTGCAGTAACCTTCCCCTGCCACGCCCACCAAGCCATGCCCACAGAATTGGTAGCAAAAAAAATTGAATCCCACCACTGGTTTAGTGGGAGTAATAGTTTCAGTATTTGGGTAAGAGGGCAAAGGGCGTTTTTTGTTTTTTTTAAAGTTAAATCAGGACAACTGGACAAAAGTATATAAAGTTGCCCTGATTTAACTTTCTTTAAAAAAAAATACTTTTGGCCTGGGTGATTGAGCATTCTTTGAGACAAGGCAAATGGTGTGATTGGAATTGCAATCTTTAGGAAATTGGGAATTTTTCTTTGCTATATGTAAAGCAATCCTGGGCAATCTGTAGCAGACCCATTTTTGTAGGCATCTGCCCCTCAAAGATGATGCTATTGAAATTTGGCACATTACTTTGGCATTTTATTGTTTTGTGCTTCTTTTTCTTTAAAAAAAAAACTAAATAAAGACCTCAAATAGGTTGTTTAAGCTTTTGGCAGGCTTAAAGCATAGGCTTTGTACAAGAATCCCTCCAAACTGATAAAAGAAAGCCCTTTTCTCCTCCCCCCCCACCCATCAACCTCTCAAAGGAAATTGCAGACAAAATTTATTCACCCTTATTGTAAAACCGGGAGAAGGGATGTTCTGTGCAGTACATTCAAAGTGCTTGAGCACACTTGTAAAATTGCTATCATAGGAGTAGGAATGGCTGGGCTCTGCAAGCAATCCCAGCAAATCATTAACCTTCATCTCTATTCTGTAGGCTTTCTCTTACACCCCTGTGGGGCAATCATATCACAGGTAGTCCTTAATTCACAACCACAATTGTGATCAGAGTTTATATTGCTAAGCAAGGCAGTTGTTAAATAAATCATTCCGATTTTATGATTTCTTCCCCCTGTTGTTAAGTGAATCAAGATATTAAGGTTAATCTGGCTTCTCCCATTGATTTTGGTTGTTGGAGACCTCCTGGGAGGGTCACAAATGGTGACCCTGGGATGTTGTAACCATTGTAAATACACGGTAAGTGCTAAGCTTCCGAATTTTGATCAGGTGACCATGGAAATGCTGTGAAAGTCGTAAGTGCAAGGACCAGACATAAATCACTTTTTCAATGCTGTTGTAACTTCAAACAGTCACTAAACAAATAGTTGTAAGTCAAAGACTAGCTGTATATCGAAGAACACACTTGTGTTAAGAGGCCAGTGGATGAAACATTGCTGCAAGCTAGCTTCCTATTTTATACTATTCGTTTAAAAAAAACATTTTAAAAAAATATCTGGAGGGACAGAAAACTTGGTCAGCATGTGAGTTCACACTGGCGAACATGGATGCCATATTATTTATTCCTTGAATAAATCTGATTTTAGGTTTTCATAGGATTCTCACCTCAAAATATTTTAATTTCTAATACAGTAAACAATGTTAGATACAACCCACATAAAGCAAAGCTCTTTGGAGGCTCCTCAATCACTGTTAGGAATATAAAAGGATCCCAAGACTGGAAGGTTTGGAAACTACTTCCAAGGGTGTGGAAAGCTGGCAGATTAATAAATCTGAAAAGTTGTTTAAAATGCTTCATCGTCTCAGTTTTGCTCTTCTTGGCGATGGCGACAGTTGTCAAGCTTTTGAGGTAGGCCAGGTCAGGAAACCAACAAGTTTGACTGGAACTCAAGACAGGCTATAGCAGGGGTGTCAAACTCGATTTCATTGAGGGGCGCATCAGGGTTGTATTTGATCTTTGGGGGCTAGGGTGGGTGTGGCCAGCTTGTCATCACTTATGTTGTGAGTGCCTGTGGAGGCCCAAACGCTCTGCCAGTGAAAATGGGTTCCTGAGCTCCGTTTTCAGCTGCAATGGCCTGCTGCAACCCCTTGGCCACATACAGCCCTCTTGAGCTCCATTTTTGCTGGCAGAGGCACTGTGGGCCAGTCCTTTGCTGTTTCCAGGGTGGCCCCGCGGGCCAGATCTAAGCACCCCATGGGCTGGATCCAGCTCTCGGGCCTTCAGTTTGACACCCCTGGGCTATAGAAATGGTACCTCACAAAGCCGTGTTTTCCCTTCCTTTCTTCTTATAGTTAAGGTAGAGTTAGTTGGAATTTTTTTCTAACCCTTTCTTCATTTCCCGGGTTTAAAATGTACTTTATTTTTAACTGCTAGTGCATGCTTTCTTCAGGATCATCTCTGTGGCTCTCCCCAGTGGTGAGCACAGCACCTGCTTATGGTATGAACAGTTCTTAGCGCAAGTTTCGATTCACTTTGATTCTTTAAACCAGAATCGGTCGATCTCTGCATTTTTGAGGTGTGTGGACTCCAACTCCCAGAATCCTCCCCAGCAACACATCTTAAAGTTGCTGAAGTGAGAATTGAAGTCCATGCATCTTAAAGTGTCAGAGTTTGTTGCAAAAATCAAATCCAGAAAGCGCACACACAGATAACTTATGCAGCAGGGTTAATTAACTTCTTTATACACATAATAACACATGAATAAATGTACAATACCAACAGCAGATTCTTCCAACGTGTAAGAGAGAGAGAGAGAGATTGCAAACAGGTTCAAACACAGGCAGGCTAGAGATTGGTTTCTGTTCAGAGCTTAATACAGACAAAGGCAACCTCCTCTATACAGGGCAGTTAAGCTAAGCCTAAGCCACACCCAGGCACCTAGTTGTCTCCAGCAAATAATGTTTCAGTTTCTAAACAGTCCTCATTGGCTGACTTAGTTGTTATGCCTATTCATTGGCTGACCTTGTTGCCATGCCCTATTCTAGTCAGTCCCCAATGGCTGACCTGTTGCTACATCCTATTCCAGTTCATGAATATTCTGACATAAAGTTGCTGAGGTTGACACACATTGCTCTAAAACAGAGGTATCTCCAACCTTGGCAACTTTAAGACTTGTGGACTTCAACTCCCAGAATTCATCAGCCAGCCACAAGTCTTAAAGTTACCAAGGTTGGAGATACCCCTGCTCTAAACAAATGTGTCTACTCCATCTGTAACGGAGGCCCTATATTGGTTTGTGTGTATCTGAATTTTTGAGAACACGTGCGGAACTCATATGGCTTCTGAAATGGGGAGGCTTTATAGTTGCCATTGGATGGGGAATTAGTTACAGTTTACCAATTCACCAGAAGGAGATTTGAGAGTCCCTCTAGCTCCCACTTCTCTACTGGGTTGGATGTTTCCTTTCTCTTCTTAACTTTGCCTCTTTTGTGAAACAAAGCTCCAAGGTGCAGCTGCCATATTCTAATCACCCAAGAACACTTACGCAGTCTCGTTGAGTCCCAGAAACACTCTTGAAAACAAAGAGGATTGTTCAAGCTGCCACTTCGCTTGCTTCCCATTTATTTTTCCAAATGGAATACAGATGGAAAGATCGAGGGTTGGATGTTTTTTTTAAAAAAACGTTAAGTGTGTCAAGCGAACAGGTTTCAAGAAGTGATTATCTTGGAGCGTTTCAAGCACAGTTATTGCTTTGTTCTTCTGTTTCTATCAATCCATCTGTCTTACCTGGCAGCCCTATGGGTCCCGGTGCCCCACGAGGTCCTGGCAAACCAGCCAATATAGTGTCAATGACGGTAGATGCTAACTGTGGCTCTCCATCTGTATTAGCAAGAAAAAAGAGGCGAGACGTCATTGCACTTGTTAAATTATGAAATGCCTGTTACTGTATTTTGTGCCATCTGGTGATTTCCCTTTGCAGGCAAATAGAAAGGCAGAATTAGACAGTCCTTTATTCCCATTCCCTTTCGGGCCACGTTTTATAGTACAGTACAAGATGCAGCCGCAGCATCGCGACTGTTTGCTGTCTAGCCTCCAAGGAGAGGAAGCCCTGTACATCTTCAGACAGTTATTTGCATTGTCGATCATCTCTTACCATTAGAGTAAGAATTTCTCCTAACGTTGAGCCAAAATCTGTTCCCTGTAATTTGCCTTTAATTGCTTCTAGCCCTACCCTCTGGTGAAACAAAAAAACAAGTCTGAACAATACCGGAATAATTACTAGCATGCTTCTTTTCCATTTTTTCCATTCGTTCACTGTCCTGCAAATTCACCCCATCTTCATTCTGCTCTTTCTGAATTCTGGCTTGAAAAAAAGAACACCCAACGTTCCTTTCCAAAATTAGTCCAGGTAGGCAATTGTCCCTTTGACCCATCTGCAGCTTTTCTCTATCCTTTTGTTATGGTTCTGCTGGTATCCATTAATAAAAGATTTCAAAACAGTGGTTTTCCTGCAATCCTATGTGATGGTACCAGGGGTGGGTTCCTGCCAGTTCTAACCTCTTCTATAGAAGAGGTTCCACAAATCTACAGTGCCGTTTAGAACTGGTTCCCGCCCCCCCCCCCGCCCCCCGGCCATCCGCACATCATCAAGATGAACAGCGAGAGGAGGAATTCTGGGAGTTGAAGTCCACAAGTCTTAAAGCTGTCAAGTTTGAACACCCCTGGGTTTTTTTTTCTAAAGGGTTAAGGGAGCAAGGGTCTTGTAACTTGACAGATTTAAGACTTGCATGCTTCAAATGCCAGAGTTTCTGAGCCAACATTTTGGTTGCTAAGCAAGAGTGTTGTTAAGTGAGTTTCACCACATTTTACAAGCTGGCCACACCCACCCAGTCACATGACCAGCAAGCCAGTCCCACAAAGCAGGCCACACCTACAGAAGAGGTTCTAAAAAATTTGGAAACCCACCACTGGATGGTACCAAAGTTTTGTTTTAATGCAGTATCCAAGTAATACACTCCACAACCGTGTTTTACCATAATATTGAACTGACTTACACTTTTGTACTACCATGTTTAAGACTGCTGGTTTCTATAGTATGAAAGTGTAAAACGGGCCCATATTTTTTTTTTAAAAAGAAATAAATAAAAAGAACCTTACTGTTGGAGGGTGTTCCAGTTTTCATTTTAATACAGGCAGTCCTTGCTTAATGACTTAGAAACTGTTTGAAGTTAAGACAGACTCATCCCCAGAGCTATTTATTTATCAAAGTTGTGATAGCTGCACACGCACACACCGGTAGTCACATGGTTGCATTTTGGGTGGTTGACAACTGGCTTGGATTTACAGCCATTTGCAGTATTTCATGGTCACATGACTGCAATTTTTAGCAGATTTTGCTGATTTCCTATTTCCAGCAAAAAGCAGCCACTTGGGGAAAATGGGCTTTTCCCCAAGGGAAAAAAAAATAGTTGTAAAATTGGATGCATGCAGTGATCTTACAACCATAACCTACGACCATAATTCTGGGCTCAATTACAGCTGTAAGTGGAGGACTATCTGTAAAGTGTATGTGTCTATGTGCCAATAAATTCTGAAAGAGCCCCCAATCTCGCTATTCTCCCTTGTTCTTCTGAATATCTTCCTCTTGTCTTGGACCTTCTGGTTTATTTATAATATATTGGTAAGGAAACTAAGAATGACTGGAAGAGGGACAGTCATATCCAAAAGCAAACATGCTGGAAACAGGAATATTACCTTGGGGTTTTCCCTTATTTATTGCTCCCTTTTAAAAGCAACCATGAACATTCAGAGACAATGTTGATCTTTTCCACCTCTCCCCTTTCCATGAATGAAATCTTCAATAGTGTTGGGAAAAGAGCATAAGGAGAGAGATAAGCTAAAAGTCAACTGCAGGAAATAAAATAATGAAATGGGAATGTGAAGAGAAGCAGGAATATAGATTGAGGATCAAAGAGAAGAATTTATAGGGCCTGAAGTGCAAAGTAAAACGAAGGGCAGGGCCATGAGATGCGTACTGAGATGGTCAGGCCATATACCAGGGGTTTCAAACTCGATTTCATTGAGGGCCACATCAGGGTTGTGTTTGATCTTGGGGGGTGGGGTGGCCAACTCAATGTCACTCGTGTGGTGACCCAAGCGCTCTGCCAGCGAAAACAGGCTCCCACGCTCCATTTCAGCTGCGATGACCTGCTACAACTCACTGGCAGTGAAAATGGAGCTTGGGAGTGTGCCCGCAGCTCTTGCGAGCTCCATTTTCGAACTGTGATGGCCTCCGGCAACCCTGTGCCAGTGAAAATGTAGCTCAGGAGTGCTGCATGCAGCCAGCCTGAGCTCCATTTTCTCTGGCAGAGGCGCAGCGGGCCAGTCCTTCGGTGATTCCAGGGCAGCTCCATGGGCCAGATCTAAGCACCCCACGGTCCAGATCCAGCCTTGAGTTTGACACCTCTGCCGTAGGCAGTCCAGCAATTCCTAAATTCAACTTTCCCAACTCGGTGTCCCTTCAGATGCATTTGAACAACAATTCCCACGATTCTGCCAGCCTTTGGGCACACTGACTTAAACCAGGAGTCAACAGCATCTTCAAAAAGCACACGGTATTGTGCTTCTCCTAATTTTAAAAAATTGAAAAGGCCAAACTCTTACAAGGTCTCAGGTCTGAACAGAGACTTTTCAAGATTTGGTTTATCAGGCGAAAGTGGATACTGCAGCATTATTATTGTCATCACCAAGATCATTACATCATGGTCCTTGACTGCCACCTAGTGGCTGCTGCAGAACCAACTTCTCCTTCCTGTTCCTAAATACGGTAATAAAAGAGGAATGTACCAATACTGATGGGAACATACCAGGGATGAAATGCTACCAGATTGGACCGGTCTGCCTGAACTGGTAGTAAAAATGCACTGGTTTGCCTGAACTGGTAGTAAAAAAAATACTACCGGTTCGGGCAAACCGGTATTTCTGACGATCAGCTGTGACACACAATTTATATTAGTTAGAACAGCGATGGTGAATCTTTTTGGCTCGTGTGCCATAAGTGTGGGAAGTGCAGGAGGATCGTGCATGGGCGTGCCGCACCCATAATGCAACGTGTGACACCCGCCCCCAGTGCGCATGCGTGTATGAGAGGAGCGACCCCCCATTTTTTGCATGCTTTTTTCGCCCTCCCCAGGCTTCAGAGGCTTTATAGGAGCTTGGGGAGAGTGAAAACAGCCTCCACCACCACCACCCCAGGAGGCTGTCTGGAGGCTTCAGGGACCTTCAGGAGGCTTCTCTGAAGCCTCCGGAGAGCTTAAACCAACCCTACAAACAAACCGGAAGACTATTCCTGAACTTCCTATTTGCCCATGCACACTGGCCAGCTGATAAATGGCTCGGTGTGCCACCTGTGGCACACGTGCCATAGGTTCGCTATCCCGGAGCTGGAATGTCAGATTTCCTGGTTTCTAGCTAATTTAAATTGCGCATCACAGCTTCACAGAAATTGAAGGTCCTGCGCATACGCGGAGACGCACGCTTACATCGCTCAAACCGGTAGTGAAGGTAAGTTGATTTCACCCCTGGCACATATCAATTTCAACATTTTATTTATTGAGGATTACGAAGTAGAATAGAACAGGTCAACAATTGCAAATAAAAAGAAGAATACTGCAAAGTATTGAAGCCAACCAAAAAGCAAGTTAAACTATTTCAATTATTAAAAATAACATTTCCCCTTTTTTCTCTCAACAGCGCAAAGAAGTGGTGATTTAAGCCAACGAACTATAAAATCCTGTAAAGTGATGTGGTTTGAACTGATTTGAGGTTGGTACCCCACCAGTTACAGCTGTCATCAAAAAGCTGCCCAAGATAGCTTAAAGGTCCTTTTCGCTAGATTGGACGCCCTTGAATTCCCTTAGAGTGGAAACTTTTCACAGCAGTGGCTCAGAATGATGGGAGCTGGGTCTCAAATACACCTGGAGCTCTCCAGGTGAAAGCAAAAACTAGCTTCATGCAGAAAACCCCTAAAAAGCAGATTGATCCAGGGTTAGGAAGATAGAAAAACTATTGATGTTTTTGACGTCTAGAGAAGATTCTTGGGGGGGGGGGGAAATCAAATGAATCCAGAGTGCTAATTTGAGATACAAATCAAAGGCTCAAATCATCATACCTTATGCAAATATCTGTTGGAAGAAATGTCCTTCTGGGGTTCAGTTCCAAGTGGGGAAAAAGACACTGGAAACATGGAGGCTACTTTGAAAGATGGTTTTAATGGTGGACAGGACCACATGGTTTGAGGTCCTGGGGAAAAAGGTGATCACATGCTTCAAGATGTTGGGTGAAGAAGAAAAAGGGGCAGAGATGCTGAAAGTCCCTAGTTTTATGCCCTCTCTAGGCTTTGAAATTGAGCTTGTATTCTGATTGACTGTCAGACTCCCATAGGGCCATGCAGAAGCAACTCTGTAGGCTGTGTTTTGAGTCCAAGTTTGGTTGAGCATGCCGTCTTCCCAGGTGCCCTTTGGTGAGATCGATAGAAGGTTAATCCTACCTTTGTTATGTAGAATAGGCTGGCTCAGGCCTTTAATGGCTCATTGACAAAGATGGGGGCGGCTGAGTTTCTGCCTCTCTTGAGTTTCTACTTCTCTTTTTAGGAGAAATATTCTGCCTTTTTAATATTTCCTAAAATATTTCATTTCTCTAGGAGGGGGGTGAGTTTTCACTTCCAATATATCTATTCCATTGAGAAGTCCACAATAGTGGAAAAGGGGAAGGAAGAGGAGAACAAGACAACCAATAGCAAAATATTAAGATTCAGTTATAGTGGCAATAGATGCCCTATTGGAAAATCTAGAAGACTAGGATAGGAACATCATAGGGAG